CGATAAAATAAAATAAAAGGGATATATGATATAATAAGATATATGTGTGCACGTGTAAATTCTATATATTAGAATTTTTAGTTCGATATTTTTTCCATAACTACAAAAAAAATGCATATATATTAAAAAAAAATAATTATATTAATAATAATATTTGAATAAATTCAATCAAACAATTTTCGGAAACGCATACGTGCGAACATAGCTATCCGATTTTTAGATTAAAGATTTATATTTTGTATCTGATATTGGATTAAAGAAAGACAATCAAATAATGTAATACGCATAATGGTAATCTCGACTATGGATTTCCATATTCATAAGATATCAACGCGTTTAGATGGGGAATGTGCTGGTAACTTGATCAAAGACCGCTCGATTGCCAGTATCCTCACCCTGTGCGAACCTTTCGTTTCTTATTACTCAAACAACTCACCCAGGAAACAATTCACCCGAAGTTCAACTGTACTTTTCAAATAATGACCTCGTCATATTGTATATCTTTGCATTTTTGCATTAACAACTCACCGATTCCTTTTAATGTTCTACGATATCGACGGTGGCTACATAATAGGAGCAGAAAAAAGCGGCGCTTTTGTAGTACGATAAAATAAGACAAAAAATGAAATTCGTTTACAAGATTTTATTTAAACTATCTAATGTTTGATTACGAGGCATACTACCATATAAAGGCTATGTTATTGTCTAAATTCTTCTTTATAAAATTATATTGGAAAATTACGCGTCGTTTCTTTAAGAACGATGTTATGAGGATTTATCTTTCTACGCAAACATTGTGTTTCTAATGTAAAATTTTTACAATTTATATATCATAAAGGTATATCAAAAGATACCTACTAGGTAGGAGAGTGTAAGATAGAACGAGATACACTTAATGTATGAACAAGAACATTTTATAAGTAATTTATACTAAATTTTTTTTTAGCAAAATGACTATTATACGTAGAATAAAAAAAATTATTGTAAAAAAATTACAATGTAGTAATAAATCTTTTTAAGTATGTTAAACATTTGAAATTATTAATCAGAGACATGTCAGTTGTCCTGTTTTTTCCTTAGGAAAGACAAAATGAGGTATCTTCTTTTTTATACAAAGTAAATCGGTTTTATACTACTAATTTCTAGACATTTTTTTCTTATTTTCAATATTTACTTGCTCTTTCTTATGGCAATGTTGATGTTAAGATGATGGATTTATGAATGTGTTTAATTTTCTAGGCATTCTTTGGGATAGGTAAAATGTTTGTTTATCCTCTCTTGCCTTAATAACCAAATACAATGAATTTGCTATGACGATGCTGTTACAATATGTTGGAACAGCTATAATTTCGATAACTGTCGAAATAAAATAAGAGAGTATTATCACGTTGAATTACATGAATTCTAATTCTCCAGACTGAGGATCCCAGTATCCAAAAAAAAATCAGAATTTTGAATTCGGTAATGACCATACTTTTCTATTTATTTGATCAATTTCCAATGGAAGGGAATTCCCATTCCTCAGATGGCGGATAGGGATGCGTGCGTACATTTGTGTGTGTGTGTGTGTGTGTGTGTGTGTGTGTGTGTGTGTGTGTGTGTACGCGCGCGCGTATAACGTAGTATTTTGCGTCATCTACAATACACAGAGTAAGAAGTAAGAAATTGACTATCACAGTCGAATGTGAGAAGAATAATTGACTAGATACTACACTCTCCTTCCTAGAAAGCCGTATGCAGGGAGAAAGGTGGGGTGAACTTGCTTCGCGTAGAAAGTTGTAAAATATACTTTTTAAAAAATTTTTATTTTATATAACAAAAAAGAGACATCATTTTTAAAACTTTTTTGTTAATAACTTTTTAACGAATAACGAGCGACAATTAAAATTTGTTTGAGGTCACTCATAATCTTGATAACACATGACACATATGTCAAGGTCATTGAAATCGGTGAGATCGTTAGTATTATCTGCAGTTTTATTAAAATATTCAATATTGTATTCAAAAATTCTCGGAGCAATCAACAGAATGCCGACATAATGGAAGTGAAATGATAAGTAAATAGATAATAATTAATTTTTAATTGCCAGTTCCTTTATATCTTGTATCACGATGTTTGAAATTATCAGAGAAACCGGCGAATCCATTGATATGCCAAAAATTTGTTTAAAAATTCTTGAACGAGAAAACGATCGAATTAAATATAAATCGGATCGCAATTAAGAATTCTTCTCTAGGTATTTTTATGTTGTTCGAACTAGAATCCCATCTCTCCATTATTTCCTTAATAGTTAAATCTATGGGGATATTAGTACACAGGGAAATGACGTCCAAAGAAATCAGTGAATAATTAAGTTCAAAATATATCCAAGAGGATGCTGAAGCGACAGCCGAACAGAACAAGAACTACAGTTCTTGCTCTGTTATATTGTATATATCGCATGAATTATACTCATGCGTTATACTCAAATTGTACTTTTGCTGTCATTTCTCTTGTAAGTTTCAAAATCATAATTTGAAGGTCTCATGATGTTCTTATAATTTATTCAAATGTGAGAAAATACTTTTCCTTTGGATATATACTCGAATTCATTTTTATATATTTATATAGGTATGTTAAGAAATAACTTATGTGATAATAGTAGATAATAGGAAACTGTAATTTAATTTACAATTTTTGGAGGATTTTCATACAGGTTTGTACTTTCGCAGAGCTATTTGCGTTTTTTCTTTTATTCTGGAGAATTTTTTTATTCTATATAAGGAAAATGAAATGCATGAAAAATACAGAATGAACATTCTGTCGGTAACATGTAGCATCCCTTAAGTTTGACTAAGAAGAAGTTATTTTTTATGTGAAAGCGTATCTCTGGAATACTGCATTCAATCTAATAATAATAAGCTGTTAGGAGTAATGCCGTCAGTAATGAGTAATTTTTTGTAAGTAGACTCGCCTATAAAATCATTTTATTTTTTCATCTCATGAGGAGACTGCGTAAATTTTAATGACTTAACAGAAATAAGCTTCAATAATGGGTGCTTTGAGCAAAGAAAATTAATCAGCGCTTAGTGTAGTTCTTTAATATTAGTTCTTGCTTTTAGTTTTTGCAAAATCTAAGTGTAGGAACCATCGTATTAAGGGATCACTAAGCGCTAACTAATTAGTTTTCTTTGCTGAACACAGCCATTATTTGCAGGTGAGAGGTTTAACATATTTAAAAACAAAATTATTAACAAAAGTTTGATGAAAATGAGAACATCGCAATAAGCATTTACTCAATATACTCAATATATTCTTATACATATTACATTGACTCTTTGGACAGACATTTTGGATTATTTTAAATATTCAATTATTAAATAATTATAATAAAGGTGAGAAGAATAAAATACATTATATAGCGATTCTAAATTTCAAGGTAGATAATTTTCTGTCTCGACAGTTTTGTGAAAATTCAACTAGAAATGTTTCTTTACAAATTATAATACATAAATTAATCTCAAGAATTATTTGCATTATTTTGTAAATGTATTTGTAAATGTGTTTGTTAGTCCTGTGTTCTTGTTAAGATCTTAATGTATTATATGTATTGAGAAGAATGTATATGTATTGAGAAAATATGAATGTATACGCTTATTGACTGCAATTTTGCTCTCATTGGCCTTTCTTTGTTAATAGTTTTATTTATAAACCAGTTCGGATAGTTACTAAAAATATCACTATTTATGCTGACTAATACATACCATAGTCCATCTTTTTGAAAACATAATCTGTATCGCAGATTGCCATGAGAACAATTGAAAAAAATTTCTTGCTATTGAAGAAGAGACGGCTTGAGTTTTTTGGAGTCTAGATTCTTACACCAATTAGGGAAATTCTACTTCTCATAAAATCAACTACATTACGTCAATCCTCTCTTGTCTCTTGGGTGGTAAATATATTGGCTGTAGAGCTTTTATAATCGCATATCTCAGGGTTAATCTTATTACTATTGAGTAACCAATAAAAAAAGTAACAATAAAAAAAGATCACTTCTTTGACTATACATTATCTTTGGGGACAAGATATCTGAAATACATTAAGAGAATAGTATTAGGACAAATTTTTTATATTGATCAAAAAACTACTGACTAACAAATTACTGCTAAACAAACTTTACATGATGAATAATAGCGATCATTACTATTGAATTAGTAAAATAGTGATAGTATGCATCAATATTTTTATAACCTTACAAATTTTTTATAACCTTACATATCAATATTATTGATAAAATTTGAGTTCAGTTTATATATATTACGGACCTTATATGGTCAAATTGTCAGTATCAACAAATACTGATAGTATTATTGACAATGATTTGAATTTCTTATTCAAGTTTCAAACATCTTTGATAGGAATATCGTTGTAGTAAAACATATTGATATTCAAGAATGAAGAAATTCAAATTGCTATTAATATTTTCAACTAATATTTTCAAATTGTGTTAACCACACAATTGTATTAATCACACATGATTAATAATATAATCAATATTTATTGATATTGAAACTATATAAAGTCTCTATAATATTGTATACTTACCCCAGAGTGGCAGTCAGTTTCAATTTTGATGGAAATGAATATCTCCTGCTATATTTTAGATAGATAAGATTTTGTCTTTTCCAAAAGCTAATCAAATCTATCAGATATCATTCTTGTATAAAAAAATAAAATTCTTCATGATTAGTATTCTTGAATTCTTGAAATAACTGAGAAGTCTACAAATTGAAAAAACAGTATTACTGATTGGCAGACGCCATCATCTAGAAAAAATAAATAAATTATAATGCAATTGCAATCAGAAGCACAAAATGTAGATCGTGAAAATTCCGCAGTTAGATATGCTAACCTCTTTTCTTGATTTGTCATGATTTCAATATACAATAACATAAAATTAAGTGTACCATCACTGAACTATATATACACTGAAATGGGCATCTTTACTATGAAGCATATAGCGTTTTCGGCCCAATTTGCACGAATCTGGATTAAAGTAATGATGTTCGTGCTCTCCTATTGATAGTAATGTCAATAGTGAAGTATTTTCTAACCTAAGTCGGACCAAAAATGCTAATAGAAAATCATGGCACTAATTGATCAGCGTCATTTTCATTTGGTCAATATAAGAGTGAATCAGAAGCTTTCAGGTGCTCATGCGCACTTACATTTAGTGTTTTTTTAGATCACCGACGAGATACTATTAAAGACCGTTAACCCTGGACAAATTTTCGGCGATATAAAAAAGGCCAGGAGGGAAGTAATTGAAGAACGCTGACATTATTGACAATATAAATTTGCTATTATTAACATAAATATTTGTCTTATGCATTATTAAATTCATGACTTAAAAATTCACTTTTTATTACATAAATGTTCCATAAATAAATGTACACACTTGTAAAGTTATAATATCCTTTATATTGCAGAAAAATTACAATGTTTTCTTTGCAGTTATCATCTCTGTCTTGATAATCAAACTTTGACGATAACACTGAAATTACAATTTTAAAGAAAAATCGAGTATTATTGAGTTCTAAATGCATAAATGTCTACTAAACTATAAAACGTTTATTAAATCATAAAATTAATACAATATTATCACTTTTTAACTCTTAATCACTTCAATATTCTCACACCCAACTCCCTAAGAATGTCGGTCTTTAATATCTCGTAAGTAGTGAGATGCATATGTCAGCAAGATCATCGTGTGTGAGATTATATTTGAAATTACTTTAAAAGATTATAAAATCGCGTGACTGTAAAATGTACAAAGCATCAACATGAAGTGCTACGGTGCCTAGTAAATAGAGAAGTAAAAAGGGCATTTCATTTCATAGGTAAGAATTTTTGTATTAAATGTATCAATTCCTGCACATGTATTAACAACATAGGATATGAAAAGTTTATTAATGTTATTTTATTGAATGTACTAATAAAATTGAAATAACATTATTTTTGTTTACATATCATGTTTTGGATATGAACATGGTTTTCATACACATCGATCACAGCACGCGCATGAATACTTCTGATTCGCTCAAATATTATCCCAATTAAAATGGTGGCTGATCAATGGTGGCCACGAATTTTTTTCGATACTTATTTCAGTGTATATAGTTCAGTATATATAGTTCAGTGTGTATCACGCTTGCATAAATATTATAATCAGTAATAACTCTTCTTCTTCCATTCTTTTATATTTTTTAAGAAATGCAAAATTTAATTATAAACAAGAATAAAGAAAAGATATAAGATCGCAATGAAATCACAGTAAAAAATATTAAATATGTAATATGTATATCTGAAATAATCAGAAATACACTTTAAAATGAATAATGAATTTATCTATTAAAAGAATAAAAGTATGCAATGAACATTTTAAAAGATTACTAATAAAAATAAGTAATATGAACATAGAATACGTAAACATAGGGCACAATCAAGTTAACAAAGCGGTTGCTCGCTGAGCAAATGAATATGATTGGTTGTTATTTATAGAGCCAATCAATTATATTCAATCGCTTAGGCTAGCAGCAGAGAGAAATTTGAGAGAGGCCATGTCGGCTTTTTTCCTGTTACCGTTGAAATCGTCCGTACACTACCGCCACTAGTCCATTTTCACTTTGAGAACTACGTGACTGCATATATTTTCTAACACTATCGATAAAGGCTGTGTTCCAAAATTCATTGACTATACGATTTTGGCTGTATTCCAAAATTGCTAGCGCTGAAAATCTATATTGGGAGTACAAATTAGTTCAGTCCGTTTCCGTTTAAAGATGGCTCCAGCTGTTGTGAATGGTTCACAGTGACAGCTGATTTTGGCGGTTTCAGAGAGGTTAAACATCTGCTAATAATATTCAGTTTATATCGCTTTGAGTTTCATACAAAAACTTTGATTTTTACTGTGTTTGAAATGTCAAATTTTGTGTTAACCAAGCAGCATTTGCAGAAGGTTTTGATTTTCTGCTTTAATTGGAAGAAAAGTGCGGCTGAAGCCTATCGAATGCTTGTCGAAGTTTATGGTGACACTGCTCCAACTGTTAAAAATATAGGGAATGGTTTCGACGTTTCAAGGATGGAGATTTCAGCATTGAAGACAAGCCTCGCTCTGGACAGCCAAAAAAATTCAAGACAAAGAATTAGAGGCATTACTCGAAGAAGATCAGAGTCAAACGCAAAAGGAGCTTGCAGAATCATTGGGGGTAACTCAACAAGCCGTTTCTATACGATTGAGAGCCATGGGAATGATTCAAAAACAACAAGGAAATTGGGTGCCTTATGAACCGAGAGACATTGAAAGGCGATTTTTCACTTGTGAACAACTAATTCAAAGACAACAGAGAAAAGGTTTTTTTGCATCGGATTGTGACTGGAGTTGAGAAGTGAATATTCTACGACAACCCCAAGAAGAAAAAATACTACGCTAAGCCCGGTCAATCGTTGCCATCGACCTCAACATCAACACTACGGCCGAACATTCATGGTTCGAAGATCATGCTCTGTATCTGGTGGGACTAAAAGGGTCTTGTTTACTATGAGCTGCTGAAACCTGGTGATTCCATTACGCGCAATCGGTATCGGCTACAATTGATTCGTTTAAGCCGTGCATTGCGAGAAAAACGATCGGAATACGAGACATGATAAAGTTATTCTTCTTCATAACAACGCCCGACAACCTTATGTCGCTAAAGTCGTAAAAAAATATTTGGAAACGCTCAAATGGGATGTTTTACCGCATCCGCTGTATTCTCCGGACATTGCTCTTTCTGATTACTGGTTATTCCGAAGGAAGCAAGTCATCGGTTCATTTCTTTCGCAGAAATCGAAAATTGGCTCCAAAGTTGAATCGCCTCCAAAGACGAATCATTTTTTCGAGATGGAATTCGAAAATTGCCTGAGAGGTGGAAAAAAGTAGTAGGCAGCGATGGATAATACTTTAATTTATCTGTTCATTTTGTTTTGAAATAAATAAATGCATTTTTGAACACACAAAAAACGGACCGAATTAATTTGTACTCCCAATAGTTTATGTTACGTATATTAGAGAGTAGATGTGGTTCGTTTCTGTACTAAATTTGCAGGAGAGAAGCATGTCGACTATCCATAAAATTACCATTCAAAAAGTTATGTGAAAAAGAGCCGCACGCATCACAACTACCTGTTTGTACGAATCTCGATAAGAAAATAACTGCGCGGTAACTATGCGTAATGTAAACATGACGCGTCGCTCCGTGCTATCCTCACCTTAAAGCTGTACGCCAATCGTCTATTGTCCAACCTGTTCAAATATTAATGCATATTACGAAGTAAAATAATATATTCTTTATATTTTTAATATTCTTCGATTAATGAAACAATTTCTTATATGCTCTAGTTTTAGTGGCACGAATCGTTTAATGTGATATTATAATTATATTATGATACATCGAGAAACATATTTGACGTTCATTTTATAATTTTAAACATTTCGTATCAATTATAATGTGCTGATAAAAGATAAGAAGTAAATACGTATAAATAACATGCACATACATTTAGAGATACGTAATTTAAATATTATTTATCTGTTACTTTTCCTGTATCATAAGAATGCGGAGTAACACGAAAATAATAAAATTATACAATTCAAAGTGATAAAAAAACTACAATTTGAAATATTTAACAATAAGGATCTCATTTGTATGTCGTACATGTGAGAACACATGAAATATTCGCACCTATGTATGTGCGTAATGAATCTAACATAACAATAAGAAATAAAGTAAAAAACGTGCAACAAAACTTATTAATCTTTAGTACACTTCTTAGTTTTAGGTAACCTTATATTAGGTGTAGTAAAAAGAAATCCATTATTTTTTCATTCAATTTCATGCAAAAATAATGGATTTCTTTTTACTATACCTAATATAATTCGATATCTAATTTTCATTACTTATGCGATACCTGGAACGATTAGTAAAACTCGTCCGTTTCCCTCTAAGATCGCTCAGCGAATGCCGAAGTAATGACGTAGTCAACCACCGCGCCGCGCTTACCGACTTGACGCTCCCCCACTTCTCACTGTTCGCCGTTCTGATACCCAATTATCACGTATAAAAAATATTCACGATTTATTATCAATTATTCGTATTTCATATGATTTTGACAAACGGATATCGCCGTACATTTCGCGTTTTGCTTTGTGGCATCTCTGGCACAATCCTATATTACTTATATGATTCTTTTAAACATAATTATTCGCATGGGATATTTTTGATTTTCTATTGATTTTTTCTATTGATTTTCCAATATTATGTCTCAATTTTCATTATTTTTTTTAATAATTTATACTTAAATAAAGGTTGATGAAATATTTTATATACATATATTCTTTATATAAAGATACATGCAAATTTTCTTAATATCGCGAAACAATTTGTGCTAAATACAGCTTTGGCTAAAAATATTAAATATCTTGTCAATCATTATTATATATTATTAATTTAAGAGACACTATTATTATTGTAAATTATTCTGTTTCAGAAATTCTTTAAACTTACGTATGACAAAAAAATTATTTAAAGTAAAAAATTTAAAATAATTTTCAGAAACTTATTTAAAATATAAAATCGCAAGAAAAACTAATACGGTAAAAACTAATACGACATATTTAAAATAAAAAATATAAAATAGGTTCCGGAAACTTATTTAAAATATTAAATAAGAAATAAGTCAGAAATGTAGTTAAAATAATAATACTAAATAATTCTTAGAAAGAAAAAAAGAGATCAGGAAAAGGAAAACGGAGGAAAAGACAATTAATAAGACAATAACGAGGTAAAGGACATGGAGTAATATATTTAAGAAGAATAAGTTTGCATTTAGAAGTGCGTGAGACACGATTAGAAATGCTGTGATATTATATCAGGAATATATATTGTATTGCGACATATCTATGTATAGTTGTAATTATAAATCGTACTATTGTATTATAGTGTATTGTATAGTATAGTATTGAGTTGTCCGGAAAATTCGTGCCGACTAACCTATATAATTTAATAAATGTATACTAAAATTTAAATCTTCTGCGTTTCAATTTTCCTTCAACATCGGCACGAACTTTCCGGACAATCCAATATATGCAATGATCAGGCTGCGATACATAGGTAATAAATATTATAAGATAGAAGACCATATATTGTGATATTCAAAGAAATGTGTGAAAATAAGAATATTAAGAAAATCTTTTATTTATTTTTAGAGTTAAGTACTAGCAGTGTGGAAGGATGAGTGTGAATAAGGAATTTATGTAAACAAATCTCCTACTTGGCTATGTAAATGCTGTAGTGTAATAAATTCTATTCTACTAAATAATTCTTTTAATTTTTTTTATTTAAAATATATATTTTAATTTTCATTGCTTTTACAAGTATATAAAAATTATTAAACGATTTTTACGTATATTTTAATAGCTTTAGAAAGTATTTAAAATCGTTACTTATAACAATTGTTATATAAATTGTTATAACTAAATATAGTTAACAAATGAAAAAAATGTACTTTTATACAAAAACTTTGAAACAAAAATATTTAAAGGAAAAATATGTTTCAATATCTTAAAGTTAATCTTCGGATATATATGCTAGAAGTGATAGTGAGGATGAATGTCACTTCTCTCAGTATTCTTCCTATATATACATATATAGGACTCTATAGGCCAGTATTCATAGGGTGCATCCAGATAGAATGAAATATAAAGAGAATAACGTCGCCATTTTGTGTTTTACATAATGCAATTCTTCGTAGGCCATAGCACATTTCCTTAACAGTAATCATAAGATGTATCTTAAAGCCTATTCTATAATAGTCGTAAGCATAGTTGTAAGTAGTTGTAAGATTGATCACTCATAATCAAATATTCTCCTCACATTCGATTTGATTGGTCAATTCCTACAATCGCTTACAACTAGAATAGGCTTACGGGAATATATATTATATTGGCCGTAACCGTATGCCATATGCCATAATCTGTAAGAATTGATTAATTATAGTCAAGTATTCCTCTCTTATTTGGCGGTAAGAAGGGAATACTCGAAGATGATTGGATTCAATTTTTTACAGATTACGGCATACGGTATACGATTACGGCTAATATAAACGCTCCCTAAGAATTTATTCAGCCAATTTATATTAAGAGTTCAAAAGAAATCTCGATTATAATTGATTGATTCTTACGGTACGTCTTATGTATGTTGCTATTACGGAAGGTATGTGCCATGGCCTTTTCTTCTTTTTTTTACGTTATCTTCTTTGTAATATTAGCAGAGAGAGAAAGTAGATATTCCGGCGTTACCCTACTGAGGTTTGATAAAGGCTGTGTTCCAAAATCACTGCTAGTGCTGAAAATGTAAACTGTAAATTTTCATCAGCACTGACAGTGAATTTTGGAACACAGTTAAAAAAGGTCGGAATGTCCACTCTCAGGTTTCTCTTTGCTAATGTGTAGTAAGGACACTTAATGACGGAGCCAATCAACGTTAGGGACATGCATTGGTGCTACTCTCTTTAGAGCGGAATCAAACTACGCATTGAATGCGAAGAATGAGATTGAAGATTAAAAGATTGAAGTTTGATCAATCAGAACAAAAGGAGCGAAAATTTCTTTGTCCTCATTGGTGAAATTTTAATCTTTAATTTTTAATCTCAATCTTCAATGCACAATCTGATTCCGGTTTTATATCCATTCTACATCCAGAAGCACAATCGCTCACTAATAAGTCTGTTCGCGTTGCATGAAATCCCCAAATATTTTTGCATTTAAAATAAGATAGATACATATTTTGCCTTAAAAAGAGAGAAAGCGAAGATGTCGAGTACCAAAAGTGCAAGCAATGCGAACAGACCTATTGCCTGCATATAGGGATGTGTTCGGATTCCCACTCGGGTGCTCTGCGGGCGTCATATCCTTGATTAATATTTGGTAAATAACATGAAGTAATGCATGGATGGCACTGGTTGGAAATCTGAACATAATCCTAATGGCTCCCGCATGCAGAAAGCGGCAATGCTTGCCGTGCGACGGAAGTTACTGCACTAAACAATAATTCTATGTTCCCAGTCAGAAATGATAATAGAATCGACATTGAATCGATGTCGATTTGACGTCGAAAGCATCAAATTGATGTTGATCGACATCGAATCGACATTGATTCGATGTAGATTTCATTATTTCTGACTGGGTTCTTAAATCGGCCTCATGTAAAACTTCTAGAAATGATGTAATACTATTTCCGCTGTGCAGCGAAAGTTGGATTGAGTTCATTTTTGTCGCGTGGTAGAAATTATATATCTATTGCTCTTTCGAGCAAGCGAGACGTTGATTGGCTATCGCGCCATAACAGGAATCATAAGGTCTTGCGCACAATAGAAGGAATAAGGAATTAGAAATAAAGAATAAACGATTTCAATCTATCAGAAACCGTGTATTTCGATGTATTCGATTTCTGATAGGTTAAAATCGCTATTCTTTATTCCTAATTCCTTAATCTTTCCATTATGCTCAGGCTCTAAACGCTCAGTGAGCTCTTGCATGTAATTGGCATATTCCAGTAGATCTAAAAATATAGAAACAGATCATACAAGAGCTCACTGTGTGCTCAGTGAACGATCGTGCTTCTGGACACACTTCAAGCAGATAGCCTGCTCGCAAATAAATATGATTGGTTGTTACTTATAAATCCAACCAATCACATTCAAGCGAGCAGGCTAGCCGCTTTGTTTAGCTTGAACACGCCCAATAACACTTTAGAAGCGCTTGATCTAATTCGAAACAAATTTGCGAAAATACGAATAGCCACATGTAGCTCGTTACAATCATTTTCACGAAATCATTTTCAAATCCTACAGATATACATCTCCAATTGTCTAAATTATTATTTATTTAAACGTGATACTTATGCATCTCCTTGGATTCCATTAACCCTCATATCACATGGGATAAACAACGCACAATAAATACATAGGACTCGATGCTATAGCGGAAAAATGTAGTAACACTTCGTATGCATGTTACTTTAAAATTCTGGCGCAAATTTCTTATCGTACTCATGTCCATCATGATGTATATTAGATTTCGACAATAAACAGTTATTTTTCAATGTTCGCGCAGTATCACCGGAAGTATACTTTGGTTCGTTTGCCGCCAAACTGTCTTGTGTGATGCGACTGCTGCGATGAAGTTGTTTACTTGTCGGCTTTCGGACGTATATACAACGGCTGTAGCGTAGATAATCATAAACGTGCGCGTTACACGTTTTATCACATTGTACCACGAATCGTCTCTGCGTTCTCATTAAGACTAATTTGTCATTTTAACTTCTCAATTTGTGAAGTATATCATGGCTAAAGTTCAACTGGCTAACGTCGCTGTTTTAGACAATCCTTCCCCGTTTCTGAATCCGTTCCAGTTTGAAGTCACTTTCGAGTGCATTGAAGAATTAAAGGAAGGTATGAATTTTGATTTTGCAAATATGATTCCACTCGGTAACGCTGTTATTTTATTCTATTCGTCTGGCATCTTTGAGTGCATGTTAATCTTTAGGTTAATTTTGCAATTGCCATGATGATACACCAATGATCGAATTATTCACGAATGTTTTGTAATAATTCTAAAACAAATTTTTTTACAATGGAAAAATCATTCTAATATGATAAAAGTTTATCAATCAAGCTTCTTTATAATTTAGTGTTTCAATTCTTTATATGCATATCTAACATTCTACATGATATCAATTTTTTACACACATGTGTGTAATATGTTGTGTGTGTGTATGTGTGTGTATGTGTGTGTATGTATGTGTGTGTATGTGTGTGTATGTGTGTGTGTATATATATATGTGTAGAAAAAAGAAAATATATCGATAAATAATACTGATATTCTTTAAGATTTGGAATGGAAAATGATATATGTAGGCAGTGCAGAATCTGAGGAGTTTGATCAAGTCCTAGATACTATTTATGTTGGTCCAATTCCTGAAGGAAGACATATGTTTGTATTTCAAGTAAGATATCATGAATTTGATATAAATATTTCATATTATAATTTATCTAATTTAGTAACATTAATTAATAATTTAGTAACATTAAATAATTATTTTCTGATTATTATCTTTTCTTCTTCTATTAGGCTGATCCACCTGATGTTAGTAGGATTCCAGTCAATGATGCTTTAGGCGTAACTGTTGTATTGCTGACTTGTTCATACAGAGGCCATGAATTTGTTCGCGTGGGTTACTTTATAAATAATGAATACACAGATCCAGAACTCCGTGAGAATCCACCTCCGCAACCACAATTTGATAAAGTTCAGAGAAACATACTAGGTGATAAACCGCGTGTAACTCGATTTAAAATAAATTGGGACGACTGTCCGACTGGAACAGCAAACAATCTTCCCGAAAGCATGGATGCACCAGCATTAGAAGATACATCGCAAGATGCACCCACGTCTACATTAGGTTTTACAGAGAACACGCAAAATGGTGGAATGGAAGTGATGTGAAAAATGATTTACTGCTGATAATTTGGTAAATTAGCATTATATAACAATTTAAATGATAAATGTAGTACCTGAAAGAAGATGAAGAGGAAAAGTACACACTTGATATATATATAAATACATATATTTAGATAACTCCAAAAAAGCTGCGCAAAATAACCTTTCATATAATTAATTGATGTTTTCGTTCGATAAGATCTAAAAAGTTTGTACATTTTGAAAAAGAACCATATGTTGATAATGTGATAAACTTACACTTTATGCCTGAATAAAAAAGAATAATTATTTGGATTAATTGTTTATGAAATAGTTATTTCAGTTTCAGTCAAATATTTTAATACAACTTACATTGCTCTAAAATGATGTTCTACAACCTTACAATTAATAATAATTGTGGCACCAATTGTGCACAAATAGAGATTAAATGTAACAAGTAATTATAAATCTTATTGTAATGCAATAGTAAATTTAAATGTACACTATGTAATTGTTTTAAAATTAACATTGTTTAAATAGCTATAATTTGAAGTTTCAAACTAAAAGGTATGTTTGATGTTTTAAGTATTATATATCATTATTGCTTATACAATAACATCATTAGATCGTAAGACAGTTTTCATTTTTATTAGTGTATATATAGGTACATACTAAGATAAAAAATACATATATTATGTTTTTTACTTGACAAAAAATGAATTCTCTCTTTCCCAGTCTCTTTATAAATTTTTTTCCATGTAAAAATTTAATTCAATCCATAATTCTTAAGTTATGTTGTTTAAAACAACAAAAATTTTCATGCTGTACATGTAATTTTTTCCATGTAGTAAAAGTATACTGTTGAGTTGAAATTAGATGACCAGATTTTTCGATTAAAATAAAATCTATGATTACGTTTACGGTATCTTTAAGCGAGTTTAATAATACCCGTGATTATAAATGTTATTAAATCAAATTAAGTATGCCGTGTAAATGTAGTCTGTTTTGTTTCAAATTTCAAGATATTGTTAGGTCCGACACATAAGTTTTAATAAATGTAAAAAATATTAAAAATAAAATTATGAAATGCAATTAATTTATATATATATATATATATAT